GGGATCGAATTTTCAAGCTAGGATTTTAAAAAAATCCCGTCGTCTGTCCCACGCCAAAGCACTGGTCTAAGGCCCGGCCCCGGTCGTGGTTGTTCTCACATGGGCTACGGTGCCGCTGCGAATGGGTGGGATAGGGGTTCAGGGGTTTTCTCGACCTGCGTGAGAAGGTCTTCTTCTTAATGCAATGCCTGGGGGCTGTCTTACCCCCTGCAGGTCGAGTTTTTTTATGTTAGAATCTATACCTCTGATGTATCTATTTTGTATATTTATGTTCTTATCATTCATTTATTTGAGATTCTAATATGATATTCGACTTCCATGGTCAGCACTCGGTGATCCTCTCGGTGGTTGCTGCATCACTCCAAATGGATATGCACTTCTACTAAGAAAGGTATGCATTTGCAGAAGAAAATGATATTTAATCAGATTTTTCACCTGATCATGATTCATGCACTGCCTTGTCCTTAAGAAGGCATTAATCTTGCTTGAACTTTCAATGGAACTCGGATGATATTTAAACGATCAAAGCTGGGCCTGTTTGTTGAGCTTTTGTTTGGCTTCTGCCAGCCAAAAGCCAGAAGCTGAAACAAACAACCCAGCTGTTGAGCTGGCTTTTGAAAAGCTAGCAAGCTGGCTTCTGGTAAAATGAACTAAAAGCTGTAAAGCTCGCTGAGAGCAGCTTGTTCTAGCTTTTGGTGTGACAGAAGCCAACAGCCAGCTTTTGAGCCAAAAGCCCAAAAACTACAGCTCAAATAAATAGGCCCTTAGTCTCGAGGCATTAGTTTCTATTCCTTCCACTTCAGTAGTTTCATTTTTTTCTTATGCTCTTCTGTTACCTATTAGGAGATTTTCATTTGATCTCTTCCACTTATCTAATTTAAGTATTTAACCTCTATTCATCTTGAATTTTTTTCTGTGCTGACCTACACTTGCACTTATCATCCAAAACATACACGAAAAAAGCCTTTGGAAAAGAAGAATTCAGTCCTGCTGAGCTTATCTGTTTGACAAATCCTGCAGCTGTTAGGATTTGCAAAAGGAAGGATAGTGATGGCCCTTGAGGGAGGCTATAACCTTAGGTCAGTAGCAAATTCAGTTTTTGCTTGTGCAAAAGTTTTGTTAGGAGACAAATTTACATTCAACTCTCCAGCGATGCAGCCATTTGAATCTACATTAAGAGTTATACAGGCGGTAATAGTCTGCATGCACTATTCCTCTAGTTCTGTACTTGCTGTGGATTTCTAATTTATGCATTGCCTTTCTGTATCCACATTGACCAGGTACGCAATGAATTGAAGACATGCTGGCCTGTTTTGAGTAATAAGCTGTCAGAAATTGTGTCAATGATTAGGTCTTCACCAAGTGAACTGCATTTCCCCACGTTGGTGAGCGTCCGGTTGGCCACACGCGGCCCATACTGGAGGAAACCAAGGTGAGACGCAAACACAAGCGGAGCAAAGACACCTCTCTCCCTGCCACTTTGGAGCATTCACCGGCTTGCTTCAACCAGTGCAACCCCACTGCTCTGACTGACAGACGACGATGCCAGAGAACCGTGAAGGCTATACACAGGCAGATGACACCTGGGACCCGTTCAAAGGCAGAAGATGAGGAGTTAGCACAGGCCGAGGCTACATCTACACAAGGCAAGCAGTGCCGCGATGCCTCTGTCCCTGTCACCTTGGAGTGTTCACTGACTTGCTTCAACCAGTGCAATCCCACTGCTCCCACTGACAGACAACGAGGCCAGAAAGCCATGAAGGCTGTACACAGGCAGATGACACCTGAGGCCTGTGCACAGACAGGGGATGATGAACCAGCAGTGGCCAAGGCTAGAGCTACGCAGGGGTTCTTGGATGTTGACTTCGGTTCTGATTCTTCAGATTCAGACTATGTACCCCCAACAAAGCTGGTCAGATGTTCGCATGAGGGACAGTTCGAATTAGGTTTGAGACCCTGCAGCAGGAGTCGCAGGAGCTGACGTTGAAGATGGAGGAGCTGAGGTTGAGGATGCAGGCCTCGTAGGATTCATTTCAGAGGGATCTAGAGAACCAGGCACGCATGTTCAACTATCACTTCCAGTCCACCAGCATCCACCATCCTGCAGCACCGAATATCTCTCCAGGCCCAGTTCCTCCCTTGCAGTCTCTTGTACCTGGTAGCGTTCCATTCTTCAGTGCCCCAATGTCCTCACAGCCTGCTGTACCCTTAGTGTCGTCATTGCTATTCCCAGTGCGCACGCTACCACCTGCGACTCCTAGTATGATCTCCACCCTTCCTCCCCCAACAAAGCTGGTCAGATGTTCGCATGATGTAAAGGCTAGAGACTCAGGGACAGTTCAGTTAGGACCTACTAATTCCATTCCTTCGGCTACCACCACAACTACAGGTCCTTCCAAAAAGTGGAATAGGTTTGAGACCCTGCTGCAGGAGTCGCAGGGGCTGACGTTGAAGATGGAGGAGCTGAGGTTGAGGATGCAGGCCTCGCAGGATTCATTTCAGAGGGATCTAGAGTACCAGGCACGCATGTTCAACTATCACTTCCAGTCCACCAGCATCCACCATCCTGCAGCACCGAATATCCCTCCAGGCCCAGTTCCTCCCTTGCAGTCTCTTGTACCTGGTAGCGTTCCATTCTTCAGTGCCCCAATGTCCTCACAGCCTGCTGTACCCTTAGTGTCGTCATTGCTATTCCCAGTGCGCACGCTACCACCTGCGACTCCTAGTATGATCTCCACCCTTCCTCCCCCAACAAAGCTGGTCAGATGTTCGCATGATGTAAAGGCTAGAGACTCAGGGACAGTTCAGTTAGGACCTACTAATTCCATTCCTTCGGCTACCACCACAACTACAGGTCCTTCCAAAAAGTGGAATAGGTTTGAGACCCTGCTGCAGGAGTCGCAGGGGCTGACGTTGAAGATGGAGGAGCTGAGGTTGAGGATGCAGGCCTCGCAGGATTCATTTCAGAGGGATCTAGAGTACCAGGCACGCATGTTCAACTATCACTTCCAGTCCACCAGCATCCACCATCCTGCAGCACCGAATACCCCTCCAGGCCCAGTTCCTCCCTTGCAGTCTCTTGTACCTGGTAGCGCTCCATTCTTCAGTGCCCGAATGTTCTCACAGCCTGCTGTACCCTCAGTGTCGTCATGGCTATTCCCAGTGCGCACACAACCACCTGCGACTCCTACTGTGATCTCCACCCTTCCTTCAGTCTCTGTCTTTTGAGACGCCTGGGTCAGTCTGTCAGAAGGGTCAAGCTGCCGTAGCATCAGCAATACTGGCGCATACAGCTCCAGTCGAGTCAGCTCAGGCACCGCCCGGGACTACAGTTACAGGGTCTCTACCACATAGCTGTCACGATGACAGTTTCAGGCAGAACCAGTCCAGTCGCCTATGCTGTGTTCCCCAGAGGATCTTGTTCCTGAAATGATTCAGGACAGCTACTCTCCTAGTACTGCAGACCGTGAGGCTCATATCTCTTCAGGGACAGAGTTCAGCTCCAGGGTTAGCACCTGAGGCCGCACCAGAATCAGCCGCCCAGAGTCCCATAGCGTGCTGTCGCTGCAAAGGCTAGCTCTTTTGAGTTTTGACTTCGGCACAGTCACTACAGCAGATTGCAGTGAGTTTTGGATTAAACACTGTCAGACTCCTGTGCCAAGTTGTACTGCGCTTTCTCCCGGCCGCCTCCAATAAGTAGCGTGTGCTTTATGCCTAAGGGGGAGAGAGCGTGTAAGTATGGAATTTAGGGGGAGCTTTTGTGTAGCGTATCATTTTGGTTCTTTGTATGGACTACAATGCTTCCATCATCTTTCATGCATATGCTGCTACGTTTGAGATGTCATGACGTGCTCTCTTGTGTGTGTGTGTGTGTGTGTGTGTGTGTGTGTGTGTGTGTGTGTGTGTATATATATATATATATATATATGTATGTATGTATATATCATATTATATCATATCTTGTGGTCATCGTGGATGCTTGTCGGTTATGCCATGATCGTGCATGTATGCTTGTCTTGATATCATGCTCTTGTGATTGCTAGTTGACATGTACCATGCTTTACCTTTGCTGTTCTAAAATGATTATACATGCATCTGCAGCATGATGCCAGGAGGTGCTAGAGCTTAAAATTTCTGGACTCAAAATGCAGTTGGGCCCAACTCGGGCCGGCCCACTTGAGCAATCTCACGCACGCCCAGGCGGACACGGCCTGGATTTCCGGCGCACGCTTGCTCCGCGACGGTCCTCCGAGTTCACCCGCGCCACCGGCGACACCGCCCCCCCGCGTCATCTCCCTCGTCCTCGTCCAGTCATGCCCCTTCTTCACCGGGCGGGAGGCGACAGCTCCGAGTCCTAGCTCGCGCGGCACCGTGCGAAGAGCGCGGCTTCGGTTGCCCCACGCGTGGAACTGTGGAAGGAGCGCGGGCTCCGACGGCCTGACACGCGCCGCTCCGGCGGCCCGCGCGCGCGAGCTAGGTGTGGGCGACTCCGGCGACCCGTCGTGTGGAAGGTGAGCGCGGCTCCGGGCTGAGCACACCGAAGGCCGAGCGCACCAGAGGGCACTAACCTGCGGCCGCGTGCGGAGCTGAGCTGTCCCGGCGCCAGAGGTCCGCATTTCCCTTTCCCCTCCTCCCATTTTCCTCTCCCATGAATCAAACAGCGGATGAGCTTTCCATCCCTCCTCATTTCTCTAGCCCTCATATCCTGTTGTCCAAACGGCACAACTTTTTTTCAGGGTGGACAAGGGCAGGGCCAGATGCTGACCCCGTGCGATTGCTTTCTCAAAGTTCCCGCTCAGCCACGGGCTCGAATGCCGAATCTTACAGCTCCGGCACCCTCGAATGTTCTCAAATTCCAGATCAATGCAGTCTCTGCGCCAGCCAGGACTGTTGAAATTTGCCCGGAGTTGATAGTTCCATCCACGGTTCCCAAACAGACTATCAGAGGGAAGAAGAAGAAGAAAGGCAACTAGGTCCATTACGGTGGGTGGCTTCCAGCAATGCTGGAGGCACTGGAGCATGTCCAGGACGTCGGCGAGGCGCTCTGGGCGTGGAAGGACACCCTGAGCAACAGGGAGAGGACGATCATCCTCAAGGAGCAGAAAGATTGGCAACGGATAGTCGAGATCTTTGACTGGTTTCGCAGGGAGCAGGGCCATGAGCTTAATGTGATTCACTACAATGTTGTGCTCCATAACGTTGGAAAGGTGAGGAGGTGGGACCTCGTTCTTAGGCTGTGGCATGAGATGCATACCTTTGGTGTGGCGCCTGACAACTCAACATATGGTACACTGATCAATGTGTGTTGCAAAGGGGGAAGAGGATGGGTGACTTTGGTTTGGCTCGGAGACATGTGCAAGCGTGGTCTGATGCCTGATGAGGTCACTGTGAGTATTGTGATGCAGGCGCATAAGAAGGCTGGAGAGTATGAAACAGCTGAGCTATTCTTCAAAAGGTGGTCCTCAGATTCAATTAGAAGGATGGAGGGACGTCCTTATCCTCACTATAGCTTATATACTTATAACACCTTGATTGATACTTATGGAAAAGCTGGTCATCTTGAGAAAGTATCAGATACATTCAACCAAATGTTGAGAGAAGGTGTTGCGCCAAGCGTTGTCACATTTAACTCAATGATCCATGCTTGGGGTAAGCATCACAGAATGGAGCAAGTTGCTTCTTTGATTCAAATGATGGAGGATTTCCAGTGCTTTCCTGACACTAGGACTTACAATATACTGATCTCACTGTACAGAGAAAGCAATGATATTGATAGTGCAGAGTACTACTACTGGAAGATAAAAGCAGAAAACTTGGTACCAGATGTTGTGAGCTGCCACACACTCTTATATGGATACTCTATCAAGGGCATGGTCACTAAAGCGGAAGCCCTTCTAAAGGAAATGGATGAGAGGGGCGATGAATACACACAATCTGCTTTGACAAGGATGTATGTAAATGTTGGAATGCTTGAGCAAGCTTGGTGTTGGTTTGACAGGTTCCATCACCATATGAATTCTGAATGCTTTTCTGCAAATATTGATGCATTTGGAGAGAAAGGATACATAGTTCTTGCAGAGAAGGCTTTTATATGCTGCCAAAAGAAGAAGATGCTCAGTGTTTCTGCGTGCAATGTTATGATCAAAGCATATGGGTTGGTCGAGAAGCTTGATGAGGCATGTGAGATAGCTGATGGCATGGAGAGGTGTGGCATTTTGCCAGATTACGTGACATACAGTTCTCATTCAACTTCTGTCAACTGTAAACGGCCAAAGAAGGCTATTTACTACTTGGAAAAAATGAAAGCGGTGAAATTGCTATCAGACTGTGTCCCATACTCTGTGGTAATTGGTAGCTTTGCTAAGAATGGTGATCTACGAATGGCTGAATACCTATTTAGAGAAATGATCATGTCAGGGGTCTGTGCTGATGTTTTCCTCTACTCTATCTTAATTGATGCATACGCTGAAATTGGAAATGTTCAACAAGCTTCAGCATATTTTGGTTTAATGAAAAAGGATGGTTTATGTGAGAATGTTGCGATCTACAATTCTTTGATAAAGCTATACACAAAAGTAGGGTATGTTGCAGAGGCCCGAAAAACATATAAGTTATTCAGAGCATTGGATACGGATGCCATCCTTTATGCATCTAATTGCATGATTGATCTCTACAGTGATAATTGTATGGTGAAGGAAGCACGTGAGGTTTTTGAAAGTTTGAAGGTCAGGGGAAGTGCAAATGAATTCTCACATGCAATGATGGTGTGTATGTACAAGAAAGTTGGTCGCTATGATGTAGCTCACATGATTTGCAAGGAAATGCTAGCTTTAGGACTTCTAACTTAGTTACTAAGCTACAATTCTGTAATCCAAATGTACGTATCTAGTGGAAGAATGGAGGAGGCTTTTAAAATATTTACAAAGATGTTGGCATCCAACACACCACCAAATGATACAACATTCCAGGCACTAAGGGTTATTCTAGTAAGAAGTGGAATTACAAAGAGTGAGGCTAGAAGGTTAGAATTGTTAAGAAGAAATAACACTCATGATTGCTTGCATCAATGGTACAGGGCACTATCTTCAGCTGTAAGATCAACTGCAAATTCTTTTCAACAGAGTATTATTAAGGACACATCCTTTTGACATTGACAATTGTAAGAGTAGAAAAGGGAGTAGAAGATAGCAAGTAATTTCAGAACTGATTTCAAATGGTTGAAATCTTAGATGTAGATACACTATAATGACGATACATCTACTGAACTGTACACAGAGAGGGCTGCATACTATCTTTGAGAAAAAGATTGTTGATATTTGATGAATTCATAGAAATCATTTTCACATGGGCATGGATCGTGCTAAATTTCTGCAGGTGAGTGTTGTAACTTTTTTGTTCTCTGGGTTCTATGTACCAAAATATAAGGTGTATGCTTTCGCAGCCCATGTTTTCAATAAAAATTGAACTGCTTTAGATTATCTGACATTGACAAAAGTTTCAGTATTGATGATAATCGCCATTATGGCAGTGTCTTTATAAGTTCTGCCTGTTGTGATTTTATATAATTTTTACATTACAGCTTACTTGCCAACATATATTTTTTTATGATGTAACCCCACCTCTTGCAGTGTTTTATTCTGTTATTGATGATTTTGTCCTTAAAAATTCGAATTACTTTTATTGGGAATCGCTAAACATTGGTCGGCTAATTAAGTTTGTCATTTCAGCCGATTTTGCGTCCTTACTGTCTCTCCCATGATTTATGATGTTCTTCTCTCGATGCGCTCATTTCCCCTTTTTGTCTTTATTGTTGTTGTACTGATTATTCCATCGGTTTGTTTTGTTTGTTGGGAGAATCATGCTAGCTGTAAGTGTGTTTCTATTCTTTAGGATTCTGTATAGTTTTTAGTTACCTTGTAGGAGTAATAATCTTTTCAGTATTGCTTCCTCTTTGAGACATAATTTTAGATGACACGCTTTTACTTTGATGTCTTGTTCAGTTGTTGCAGGGTTCCTACATGTTATTACCAAAACAAATAACTGCATTGGGCCAAGATGGAGGGAGTGGATTTCCATCCTTTTTCGTACATCCACTTCGAGGGTACTACTCAATGGGCAACATGGTCCAAGCTTCTACCACAGCGGAGGTGTGCGTCAAGGCAACCCTCTCTCCCCATGCTCTTCATCCTTGCCATGGACCCTCTACAGCGCATGCTTGATCTAGCGACCCAGCATGGGATCCTTTCCCCATTGCCTCAAACTGCTGCTAGATGGAGAACATCCATGTATGCAGACGATGCGGCGGTCTTCATTAACCCCTCAAAGGACGACATGGAAGCTGTCAAAATAATTTTGCAAGCGTTCAGCGGATTGCTCAGAGCCTGCACATTAACCTTCAGAAAAGCTCCATACACCCGATTAGGTGTGAGGAGATTGACCTAGGGCAGGTTCTCTCCTCCTTCACGGTGTTCGAGGCACCTTCCCTTGTCGGTACCTAGGACTGCAGCTGCACACGAGGACGCTCCGGAAGGTTCATGTGCAGCCCCTCATCGAACGCATTGGCCAAAGATTCTCTGGTTGGAAAGGGAGGTGGTTAAACAGAGCGGGCGCTTGACACTCGTCTCCTCGGTGCTTTTGTCCATGCCAACCTACCACCTAACCGTGTTTCCTATAGCGGCGTGGGCAAGGAGGAAAATCGATAAGATCGGAAGATCCTTCCTTTGGAAAGGTGAAGAGAACGCATAAATGGAGGCCATTGTCTTGTCAAGCGCCAACGGTTGCAAGGCCCAAAGATATTGGTGGTTTAGGATTCGGACACTGGACAAATTTGGCGAAGAGCCCTGCGCCTTCGTTGGTTATGGAAGGAATGGACCGATGATTCCAAACCATGGGCTGGCTCGGAGCTGCCTTGCAATGAAGCCGACCGCTTACTCTTCAAAGCCTCAACAACGATCTCCATTGGTGACGGAGCAAAGACTAAATTCTAGCATGATAAGCGGCTTGCAGTGTGAGGCCCCAGAACTTCGTTCCACACCTATTTGAATTGGTAAGGAGGAAAAACAAGTCGGTTCAACAGAACTTGAAACAACAGTGGATACACACCCTTAGGAGTCGAATCACGACCACCGAGCACCTAGAGGAATTTGTCTCCCTACGGATCGAGAATCCAAAGGCGTACACACCTGCTTTGCCGGGCGTGCGGGACTCCATTGTTTGGCGATGGACAGGTGGACGGTTCTTACTCCACTCGCTCCGCCTATAGGATCCAATTCAAGGGTTCCTATGCTAGTTTCAAAACAAGCTAATATGGAAAGCACAAAGGAAAATAAATGCAAAGTTTTCGCTTGGATACTAGTGCAAGAGAAAATTCTCATGGCGGATAACTTGCAAAAAGAGGGTGGCGCATCAAGATCACATGCACTATGCAATGGGCCGTTGGAGACTTGTCTTCGTCTATCTATACTTTGCCCGTTCGCCAAAGCGGTTTGGAATCAAATCCTAACCTGGGAACAATTTGATGTTCAGTTCACACAGTTCACTAGAGACCCCGTCCATTTAGGCACCTGGTGGGAGGAGACCGCTACTAAGGTCACTAAGGATGAAAGAAGGCGCTTCAATGGTTTGGTGATCTACACATGCTGGAACCTTTGGAAGGAAAGAAACCGAAGAATTTTCAATAACGCTCAAGAATCGCCATTGCAGGTGGCTTCAAGAATTAAAGAAGACATTGAGCAAAGGAAGAGGGCGTTGCAAGGGGCATTCCAGGGAGGGGGGCTAGCAAGCCGGCTATTCTGGTTGTATACGTGATTTGGGGTTTTTTTTACCCCTGTTCGTTTGCACAGCTCCTCAGGCTGTGGTTGTACTTAAACCTTCTTTATTCCTTCCTTAATTGAGAGGCAGAGCTCCTGCCGTTCGTTTCCAAAAAAAATAACTGCATAATTAGATAGTACACCCTTTTTTAAAATATATGACGTTTGAACTAATTAGCTTTTCTTAAACATCGTACATTTAAAATGGAGGTAGTAGTTCAAAACAGAGGAAGTTGTCCTTGTTCTAGTTGATAAAAGTTATTGATGGACATATAAAGAAATCTGCTCTATTTTTTGTTTGCCTACTACTACTATGTAAGATTGACTGCACTTGAACCAAATTGCGGTCACTTTTCAGGCTGTTGGTGGGATCTAAAAAATTGACTGAAACACTCTTAGGAAGTGGTCAACTTTGTTGTCTTGGTTCTAAAAAAATATACATAATGATGTGCCAGTCATCTAGTCGTCCAAAATCTGAGTGGAATCCAAAACAAAATTAGCTGACCATTGGGTAGTCAGTCCATTTTCATTTGACTTATGTTCAGTAAATGGCGAAGTCAGATTAAATCAAGTAACGAACATGAAAAAAGAGGCCAATTCATGACTAAATGCTTCTTCATTCTTTGCTTTTAAAAACCTCACTTTTCGTTCATCATATTCAAGGAGTTAGTGTTATACATCTGATCAGTTAGAGCTTTAGAGCTGTTCTCGAGTCTTTAAATGACCAATAATTTTGGCATGGCATGCTACTCTATGTAGCGAGGTGTCATATATATATATTTTTCTGGTTCACCAATCTGGCGAAGCTGATATCCGATGTAGGAGTGCAATCTGGAGAGTCAGGTGAGCTTTCATGCTTGATGCCTCTCTTTTTTGTTGCTTTCAACAATTCATACTTCCTGCCCTATTCATCAAATATTTCTTCCTTTACACTGTAATCTTGTTTCCTGTGGAATTATCTTATTTGGTTCAGAATTCTACTGCTAAATATCTATTTATTAGTTACTAAATATGACAGCATCCATTGTGCATATGACTCTTGACAGTAGGATGCAGTTGTACGGGGTTGTAATTATGGTCACGATTTAAGTGGCAGCATGTGTGTAGTTGTGTTCACTGCTGAGCCTGGTACGAAGATTACAATTTTGTATCCCTTTTTAATTCAATTGCAATGCTTTTTTTTGTAAATTAAATATCTTGTTATTGGAATCAGATTTTTTTTCTTGTATTTTGTTCTGTATTTAGGGCATTTAGTTCCATATATATGTGATGGACTCTAAGCTCCTGTTGTGCAACTTCACAAGCCCAAATTCTGAGCATGCTTCATATTTCAAATTCTGCACCACCTGTGGATTCCAGTGATCGGGACCAATCAGATTGGTGCCTCAAGTTTACTCTCTACAGCTCACGGTTGTGGTGTGTTATTGTTTGGTAAATCTTTATTTGCTAAATTGTACAAGTGCAGCATTGACAGATTTCTAACATGTGGCATACTGGCATGTTCCTTACTAAAAAAACATGTGGCACATTTCTTGTTTTCTGCAGTTTTGGCGCATATTGGCCAGCATTCATTTCTGCAACAGCCTGACGGATGGAGCAATGGATGTTTTGGCGGAGCTGTGGCCAGCGCTACCAAACGGACCCGAAGCCTGTGTAAATATATACGCAGTACTAGCACCGTAGTAGAACCGCCTAATCTAAAGTCTTCCAGGAGTGTTTGTCTTCTATTAGACACTAAACACTCAGGGGAGAACACTAAATTACTCGGTTCCGTCGGGCACACCCCAGGAGAGAATCCGAAAATCCACATTTTTGCCATCAGGATCACAAATAAGAGAATAAAGCTTATAGCATTTAACCATTTCTTACATCACTTTTAATACAACATTAGAGTATAACATTTATTATTATAATAGGGAATGTAATTATATTATCAGAGTTACGAATAATTTAATTAAACAATGGAATATAAATATGTGAACAGAGTTACAGCGAAAATAAACATCTATTAATGACATGATGAAGTATTGATATATAAACTACGACAATAGATTATGAAACTTTCATTTATAAAAGCATTTGATGAGAGTTATAAATAACAACTACGATCGCAGCGTAAAGGAATCCTCACTGCGCCCACCAGGAGGAATCCACACACAAGAGTCAGCTTTAGCATTCAACTGTCACTTGCAACAGGGGGAATAAAACCCTGAGTGTTCAATTGTACTCAGTAAGACTTACCCGACAGGAGGAAAGAAAAGACTCTAAGGATATGCAAGGCTATCTGGCTTGTGGGTTTATTGTATTTGCAGAAAGCATTACTAAGCGTGCGTCCTTATATTCGATTTTTATTAATAGCCGTATTGGTTCATTAACTAACTATTCTATGTAAGCACCTGTACTCCTTTCAAACAGGTGCTAAGCAATCAGATTTCCTTTTCCTTTCATCTTTCAGTTTTTACTACGATGCTAGGCACGAAACAAGCCGTACCGGATTGCCCAACAATTCGTGAATTAATGCCCCCAGCTGGGTATTCCGAAAACACACGCCCCGCTTGTACCCAAGGCACAAGCAGGACCAACCCATCACTCTTCTATCTCGGGTGTCTAAGGCCCCGTCCAAACTGGGACTCCAAGCCCCTGTCCCTGAGTCCCGGACTCAGTGCGGTGCAAGGACCTCCACCACCAAAAATAAAACCCTAACAGTCGGTCCGGAAAGAGCCAGATCCACGACAAGAGAGCAACAAGTCTTCCAAGCGCCCATACCCAAGTATGTGCTCGGGATAATAAGTCTGTGACTTGCCTCGATGGCTTATGCAACGACCGGTCCTTAACCGACACAGACAGGAAAAACAGTGTAACCAAGCCATGCCCCGCGTCCACGGCGACACGACCTCTTACACCCACCAATACCCAAACCATATCCCTGCCCGGTCACCATTTTTCCTTCCACCATTTATATTTTCCAAGTGATAATAATCCAATAATATATTTCATATATCTCGCGAGTGCAGGCAATCACTCGACTTCTATCGGGGTCCTATAGCATAGCAATCTACACGATCCTATCATACTAGTAAGACTCATAGGATAAAGATATATATGCAACTGGGTTTCATTCAACTCCTTAAAACTTAATGTACAAATATAATTTAAACTGCAGAAAAGTAGGGGTTATGCACCGGGGCTTGGCTGGGTAAGATATATATTAAAAAGTTAGTATCTGCATCGTCAGACCATCCACCATCATCTGAATAGAAAGCCCATTGCATCATCTCCTGGAGAGAATATCATCTGCAGATTTCCAATCATCCTTCAATTGATTCGTTGATTCATCATCGTACCTATATGATATGCAATGCGATGCAATGCAAAGACATAATTAATCGACTGCAATCGTGACTCGTAAAGTACGATTTACGCCTCTCAAGTTAACGGCTAGTTCTAACGACGGCCATAATTAGGCTACATATACACGTTGTCGGATAAGACGTATTTCCCAACAATTCTTTTAGTTATATAAACCGAAGTCGTTTCTTTATCCTATTCCATCAATTTAATCTTTATTCGCAATAGGATATCATTATCTAATTAACAAACTAATTATTCTGGAGCTACAAAATTACAGTGAGTACCTAATATTGCTAGGAACCTACTGTATAAATTTTAAATTCAACAATATTACCAATTATCATGAAAATTCCTACAAGTTTATACTTTACAATATTAAGTATCTTAAATTAATTATATAGCTTCCAAGAATATTATCACACTATGTGAACAAAATATACTAGTAGGTAGATCATGATTTTAGTAGACTAACAAAACTGGTTTGACATTTTTATGATTTTTCTACACTTTATTTTCAATTTTCGAAGAGCGCTAATTTAACAAAACAAAACAACTCAACAGGAAAGGACCTGGGCGACCAAGCTTGGCTCAGTGAGGGCGCGTGTCTCAACACGCTGCGCTGGGCTGCCCAGCCAATGGCTGCTGTGTGCCCATTAGTGGCGCGTGGCCATGCCGGGTGGCACGCACGTGACCACCCCCAATGGGCAAGCAAGATGGCTCAGCAGAGCAGCATGAGCGGCCTAGTCGCGTTCATGGCCCACCAAGCAAGTCTGCGGTCATAGCAGTAGGCGAGCCAGCCGACCAGACGGCTGATGGCGCGGCATTTTCGCAAAACGAACCCTACGCTTCTCCCTATTCAGCCTTAGGTCCATAGTACTGTTTAAATGAGTCATGTATTTCACAAAAACAACCCTATATAATTTTTTTGCTTGGACTCTTACCCTTCACGTCATCCACAAAAGCAGAGCACCGCCGCGAGACGCCGGCCGGCGGCGACGGCAACAGCACGGTGGGGCCGGAAAGGCACGACGGCGGCGATCCACTCGCCGACGAGCTGCACGGGGAGTCCACGCGACCACGCCTGGCCGTGGCAAGGCCCGAGCCGTCCCCAGGCAACGTACCCATGAGAGCCGCAGAGGCCGGCGCGCTGGCAGCAGCAGCGCCGGCTAGGCGAGGTCGGTAGGGACGACGCAGCTGGGCTACTGGCGACGGCGTCGTGTAATGGCGCTGAGGCTCGGTCCAATGAGCGGCGACGCGTCGAGGCTGCGTAGCTACAACTTCAGCGCTTCGCGGGAGGCGAAGCGTCGGCGGCGAGTCGCCGTGGAGCAGCAGCGTGCCGAGGAGGCGTGGGGCTGCGGTGGTGGTTGTGGGCTCGGGCTCGCGTAGTACTGCGTCTTTTGTAAAGCAGCGAGACGAACGGGCGGAGGTCACGGGAGGTCGGGGCCATGGCGCGTCTTCTTGAAGGACCGGACCCGATCTTCTGCCGGGGCGAGGAGCTTGCAAGGCTGCTTGAAGGCGCCAAAAAGCGGCGGCGGGGCACCGGCCGATCGATGATGCAAAGACTGCAAATCTGGAGCGAGGAGGTGGTGGCTAGGGAGGAAGAGACTAAGGAGGTGACTCGACAGGAAGCAAAGAAGCAGTTGGCTAGGGATGAAGCCAGGAAGCAAGGGGCCATTGTAGAGGCGTAAACCAAAGAGCGTAATGACAACGACTTCTCCTTGGAGGAGTACCTTCTGAGATGACGAAGGTGGGCTGCTGCTTGTAAGAAGGGCTCGTTATGAAAGGTCTTGCAAGAAGGTACATCAAGGAGGTGACAAACAGTGAAGGCATCAAGGATTAGGCAGCCATGAAGGACGAGGCGGCCATGAAGGCACGGTTCGAGGAATGGATCATAGAGTATGGCAAGAGATACAAAAACAAGGAGGAGACGGCTCGGCGCTATGAATTGTTCAAGGCTTTTGCAAATATGGTGGTCAAGGCAATCGCAGAAGGTGGGGCCGTCTTTGTCACAAACCATACTGCAGCTTGGACCGAGGAAGAGTGCCGGTGTCTGTATGATAGTGATGTTGACTAGGATGACTACATCGATCACATCCGGTCTTTAATTGATAAGAAGAATGCTAGGGCCAAGAAGCCTAGCAGGGAGAGAGAGAGATGAGCAACGCTGCCGACATGGAGGTGACCCGGCCTGACATGTCCACGTCGGGACTTAAAGTTTTGCTCGCCAGCCACGGCAGATAGCAGAGAGAGACAAGGCAAGGACGAGCAGAGAAAAGAAAGAAGGAGCAGTCGGTCAATTGTACAGTCAGAGAGGACAGACACAGACAAGGGCAACATAGGCACATGGGCAGGGCTGACATTATGACCGTGAACAGTGACGAGCAGAGCAGAGCAATCAACACATGTTCAATCATCAAAGGAGCTCGTTCTGGCACTTTGCTTTACATAATTTATATATACCTATATATCTATACCTCTCTCTCTCTATCTCTCTCTATACCTCACACTCCAGGCTTCAGTGAGGTCGGGGAACTCTTCACTCTTCCCGATGTAGACGGTAACCTCACACCGATCAGTGCCATGCTTCTCATACTCACGGCCCTCATACTTGGGACGATCTTTGACTCCGAGCTTTTGCAGGGTGGCATGCAGGATTTTGGAAAACCCCTCAACGTTCAGGCAGTAACTACTAACCCAGGCTCCTACCGTTTCTGGCGGTGGTGGTGAGGAAGGCTGAGCGAAAAGCTAGCTCAAAGGGAAAAGCTAAGCGAGATAAAGTGCACCGAGTGGTGGTACCAAGGGCTAAGTCGGGCTTTGCTTATAAAAGCAGAGCGTTCAGTGGTCCTGGTGCGGTCCACCAGGGTTCCCGCGTGGGATCACTACGACAAATCGACCAAATTCCGTGCGTTCGAGGCAAGCGACGTCCGAGGCCATTACTGACTAGTACGACTACAGGGCAAATGTCCGACAAGAGCGTAGAAAAAGGGTACGGGGAGACATGGGTCACGATAGGCGTGAACCACGGGTGAACGCGAAACACGAAGCCACAGTGCAGACCTAACTCTAGAACAGGAACAAGTCCGTCGTGCACAATACGACACGCGTGACACCTATGAATGGCGTATCTGCAAGTAATACGAGCACTACAATGCACAAACAGGATATGCATGAATGCACGTCCTATACGTCCTTTCACTGTTGCCAACATATAGGGCAACCGGTCTCAGATTTTTGGCACATCGTTCTCTCCCTGTAGCTAATCGATACTATCGAACTATGCTCGAGTTAGTGTACCTGCAGAAAAATTGATTAAGTCTATCTAAGTCAGCAGAGTGCCATCTATCCTGGATACATAACTATAGTAATAGGGCTACTTGTATAACTTCGCATACAAACATCCGAACTTTTTGGAAAATAATTTGTTGTCAAATTTTAGTTTAGAAAAGGTTTTCGAAGCTTTATTTTCTCATTTGCGCTCTGAGACCACCTGTGGCAGAACCGCCTAATCTAATGCCTCCCAGGAGTGCTTGTCTTCCATTAGACACTAAGCACTCAGGGGAGAACACTAAATTACTCGGTTCCGTTGGGCACACCCCAGGGGAGAACCCGAAAATCCATATTTTTGCCATCAGGATCACAAATGAGAGAATAAAGCTTACAGCATTTAACCATTTCTTACATCACTTTTAATACAACATCAGAGTATAACATTTATTATTATAATAGCAGAATGTAATCATATTATCAGAGTTATGAATAATTTAATTAAACATCGGAATATAAATATGTGAACAGAGTTACATCGGAAATAAACATCTATTAATGACATGATGAAGTATTGATATATAAACTACGACAATAGATTATGAAACTTTCATTTATAAAAGCATTTGGTGAGAGTTATAAATAACAACTACGATCGCAGCGTAAAGGAATCATCGCTGCGCCCACCAGGAGGAATCCACACACAAGAGTCAGCTTTAGCATCCACCTGTCACCTGCAACAGAGGGAATAAAACCTGAGTACTCAATTGTACTCAGTAAGACTTACCCGACAGAAGGAAAGAAAAGACTTCAAGGATATACAAGGCTATCTGGCTTGTTAGTTTATTACATTTGCAGGAAGCATTACTAAGCGTGCGTCCTTATATTCGATTTTTATTAATAGCCGCATTGGTTCATTAACTAACCATCCTATGTAAGCACCTGTACTACTTTCAAGTAGGTGGTAAGCAATCAGATTTCCTTTTCCTTCCATCTTTCATCTTTCAGTTCTTACTACGATGCTAGGCACGAAACAAGCCATACTGGATTGCTCGACGATTCACGAATCAATGCCCCCAGCTGGGTACCCCGAAAACACACGCCCCGCTTGTACCCAAGGCACAAGCAGGACCAACCCATCACTCTTCTATCCCGCGTGTCCAGGTCCCCGTCCAAACTGGGACTCCAAGCCCCCGTTCCTGAGTCCTGGACTCAGTGCGGTGCAAGGACCTCCACCACCAAAAATAAAACCCTAACAATCGGTCCGGAAAGAGCCGGATCCACGACAAGAGATCAACAAGTCTTCCAAGCGCCCATACCCAAGTATGTGCTCGGGATAATAAGTCTGTGACTTGCCTCGATGGCTTATGCAACGACCGGTCCTTAACCGACACAGACAGGGAAAACAGTGTAACCAAGCTATGCCCCACGTCCACGGCGATACAACCTCTTGCACCCACCAATACACAAACCATATCCCTGCCCGGTCACCATTTTTCCTTTCCACCATTTATATTTTCCAAGTGATAATAATTCAATAATATATTTCCTATATCTCGCGAGTGACAGGCAATCACTCGACTTCTACCGGAGCCCTATAGCATAGCAATCTACACGATCCTGTCATACTAGTAAGACTCATAGGATAAAGATATATATGCAAGTGGGTTTCATTCAACTCCTTAAAACTTAATGCACAAATATACTTTAAACTGCAGAAAAGTAGGGGTTATGCAACGAGTGGTGTCCCCACGCTTTACCGCCTCATGAGAGCCAGAGAGAGGGGGCACACCGCAGCAGCAGCAGCCAGCCGGCTAAGGCGAGGTCGGTAGGACGCCACGCTGCGGGCTCTGGCGACGACGTCGTCGGTGGTGGCGCTGGAGGCTCGGTCCAGCGCGGGCGACGTCGGGAGCTGTGTAGCCACAACTCGCGCTCATGGGAGGCGGGGAGTCGGTGGCGAAGTCGCCATGAGCAAGCAGCAGCGTGAGGAGGCGTGGGGGCTGCGGTGGTGGTGGTGGGCTCGGGCTCGCGTAGTACCGTGTTGTGGAAGCAGCAATGAGAGAGAGCAATGGCGCCGGAGGTCAGTCACCGGCAGCAGCGTCTTTGAGGTGCGGACCAACGCTGCCGGGGCCAAGGTTACATGCAGCTTGTGATCAAGGCGCCAAAGCGGCGGTGAGGCACCGGCGGCTGCATGTGCAAAGACTGCGATCTGGGAGCGAGGAGGTGGTGGTGGGGAGGAAGAGACTAAGGAGGTGACTGGCAGAAGCAAAAAGAAGTTGGTTGGGATGAAGCCAGGAAGCAAGGGGCCATTGTAGAGGCAGAAACCAAAGAGCGAGAATGACAACGACTTCTCCTTGGAGGAGTACCTTCTGTCGAGACGACGAAGATGGCTGCTGCAGAAGAAGGCTCATTATGAAAGGTCTTGCAAGAAGGTTGTCAAGGAGGTGACAAACAAGTGAAGGCATCAAGGATTAGGCGACCATGAAGGACGAGGCGGCCATGAAGGCACGCAGTTCGAGGAATGGATCACGAGAGTATGGCAAGAGATACAAAAACAAGGAGGAGAAGGCTCTCGGCGCTATGAATTGTTCAAGGCTTTTGCAAATATGGTGGGCAAGGCAATCATGAAGGTGGGGCCGTCTTTGTCACAAACCATACCGCAGCTTGGACCGAGGAAGAAGAGTGCGGTGTCTCGTATGATAGTGATGTTGGATCGGGATGACTACATCGATCACATCCGGTCTTTAATTGATAAGAAGAATGCAGGCCAAGAAGCCTAGCATGGAGAGAGAGGAGAGATGAGCAACTGCCGACATGGAGGTGACCCGACCGACATGTCCACGTCGGGACTTAAAGTTTTGCTCGCTTGACCACGGCGGCAGATGAGAGAGAGAGACAAGGCAAAGACGAAGAGAAGAGAAAAGAAAAAGGAGCAATCGGTCAATTGTACGATCAGAGAGGATGAACCACGCATAAGGGCAAAGATAGGCACACAAGGTGACATTATGACCGTAAATGTGATGATTTGAAAGCAGAGCAATCAACACATGTTCAATCATCGAAGGAGCTCGTTCCGGCACTTTGCTTTACGTAATTTATATATACCTATATATCTATATATCTCTCTCTCTATCTCTCTCTCTCTCTCTCTCTCTATATATATATATATATATATATATATATATATATAACGGTTTACTAATTTACACAAATTGTAACGTCTAGGCACAGGAAAATTTCAGCAAAGTTCGAATTTAAATTTGATTCAAATGCTATATATATGTATATCGTTCTATTTATTAATGGATTTTATTTTATTTATAAAAGTTGTTTTTCCTGCTTGATCTAGTAGAACAAACCGTTCACTATTTATTTGTCAGGATTATCGTTCCACATTCCTAAATATTTTTACGCACTGAAATTTAACCTGGACGTTTATTTGAGTCTGCGAAACTACGTCACACAGGATTCGCTTATCGCCTCAAGTACGTTTTAAATCAAAACCCGAGAAAACTCGATTCGAAATTTTTTTAGGCCTAAATCGCGGTGCTAAACGAGATCGTAACACCGGGGGTGTTACGAGCACTGGGTGAGCATGGTGCCAAGCAGTTTTTGAGTACTTGGGGACTGACAAAGTTCAAATTGTTTGCGTGAGTGGCAGTGCCCTGTTCACTTGAACTTATCATCCTGGCTTATCAGTCATGTTATGTTTTTCTCTCACAACAAATCAGCTTCAACCTGTTTATCAGCCGCAGAACAGCTTTGGTCAAGAGGTGACTTGTCATTGCTAGAGAGGTTTATACAGCCTAT